TTTTTTTTCCTTTTACAGCAGAAGTCTGTGATAATGATATTCTTGGAAAGTCTTTGTGTTCAGACTTGACTGAATTATGACTTTATTTTTCACCTGAATGCACACCTGAAATCACATACATATGACCTATAAGTTTTTAATTTGCAACGGGTGGTACATTTTGTGAGTGACACAGATTGGAGTGTAGGGATGTGTTTTGTTTTGGATTATTTATTTATTTATTTATTTTTAACTTCAGCTTTCCTACTACTCTGAATGAGAATCATTACCATGTGAGTCTGAGATTACTCAGAGATGTAAATCATGCTCACAAAATCATGCAGCGCTAATCCTTACATGTTATATTCTAGTCTCTTCAACCTCTGCTTCTATTCACACCTAATTTTTGTTGCTGTTTTTTTTCCCCCCAGCCTTTTTTGTGTTTCTGGTTCTTCTGTGGGGATTGTGTTGAAGTTTTATTAGGCTTAGTAAACCAGTACTGAGAAAGTAACTTCACTGTTAGCTTTTTTTTTTTTTTGTAGAATGTTGACCTAAACGGCATAAATGAATTGGGATGTTTGTGGAATGTTAATGTTGCATTGACCTCATGTCTCAGAGGGTCTGACACATGACACATGGTGTCTGATATTCAGTAGAGATCTGATAAAGTTTGATGGCCACAGCGGTCCACCTGCTGGGGGTATATGGTGACCACACTGTAACTTTGTGTGGATGCAGGCCATCTGGCCATGGTTACACTGAACAATATGAATCTGTAAAGTAATCAGTAACTAAAGTTGATTGTGCTAAATCTAGCGGTGTAAAGAGTACAGTATTTGCCTCTGACATGTAGTGGAGTAGAAGTATAATGTAGCAGAAAAATTTATTAATTGACTGTAATTGCACACAAAAATTAGAGGTGAATATTATTATTGAAGGAATTTATGATGCCACCAAAGACCCTCTTCATCAGTGATGGGGGTTTAGACAGCGGCCATCAAGTACTACTTCACTATGTGACTTTGTCCTTTAAACGAGAACCATAAATCTTGATTATTTGTTACCAAAGTGTTTATCAGTAACACAGTTAAGATGGAAAAATATAAAAGCGTTTCCACTGTTAAGTGGTGCAGTGAAAATATTTGCTGGTGCGCCTAAAATTTTCAGTAAGGAGAACCAGTGCTTCCAGTGGAAAAAGTTGGTCTGGAGGCTTGTCAGAAGATTATTATTCCAATTTTTCTCAATAGCTGTTTACAGAATATTTGTTTAGCAGAATTGACAGTAGGCTAGGCTTTATAGGCAACAGTTGTTTCAGAAAATACCCTACATTTTATGCATACTGAAACTGAAAGAAATGCCCTTGGAATATGCAAGAAATGAAGGGGTGGGAATTTTCTCTCACATGACTTATTAGTTTATATGTGCAATTCATAACAGTTGAGAGCTTGAAATATTTTAATAACAGCATAAACTATTGTCATATAATAATGTGAACAATAAGAAAGTCAAGCTGAGAAGAAGCTGATGTATTTCGATCAAAAGGACATCGCCTACAACTGATGAATGTTCAAATTGTACTTAGTCACTTGCTGAAATGTGTTAAACAGTTATTTGTAGAAAAAGATGAAGTGCTGTAATGTTGCACAGAAGAAACTAAATGTGGAGAATATGAAGCTTGATTTCAGAACTGTCACTTGATAATTGGGGTAACAAGAAAAGCTAATAATAATGGTGGTAGAACCAAGTAATACGCTATGTTAAAGTGCTAACAGCTTGAAGAATATTCTTGTTCTTTAATGCAGAGATGATATGAAAGGAAATGGGAATCTGTTCGTGTTGTCGATTTTAAATGATGATCAACGTGCTAGTGCTCTTAAAATTTTCAGCAAGGAACACCATTGCTACTAGTGGTGCAAATTAAGGGGAGTTATGGTTTGTGCATACCCTTGTGACAAAGGGTGGTCACGCATTCCTATTCATACTTAAAATTGCCTTCTGTCCAGGTGTGCCGATGGTTTCCGCGCACTGTGCCGTATGCGCAGTCGGGGCTTTTGCAGTGTGATCACAGACTTTGGCGTGCATGCGGATGTCTGCGCAGACCTGGGAAGATGATGAAAATGAAATCACTCGGCCTTGGTGGACATGCAGACCTGCCAAGCATCATTTGCTTTTTAGTCTGGAACCCTGCGATACAGTACTTTAAGAGTCCCCTATTTATTTTTGGAAAAACAAATTAAGAGCCGAAATGTTTATTTTCTCATATCTACTGTTAACATTCTTCAGTAGCAAAGTGAAACAACATTGTTTTAAACAAATCATTAGCCTAGGCTAATGTGATTACTGCAATGTTAAAAACAATGTAGGGCTTTCTTTTTGAATGGTAAATGGTCTTATACTTGTATAGTGCTTTTCTACGCTTTACAGCACACTCGAAGTCCTTTCACACTCACAAACACTCATACATTCACATACCTGTGTTATCACCAGGAGCAACTGGGGGGTCCAGTGTCTTGCTCAGGGACACTTCAACATGTTGACTGGACAAGCCAGGAATCGAACCTCTAATCCTCCAGTTAGGATTCGACCCACTCAAACTCCTGAGCCACAGCTGCCCCAACAGTATTTTTACTTGGCGTTAGTTTGCCTGCAGCCTCCATATCACAAATCTGAACTGAAACCAAATTTCTGAAAGACGGTGGTCATACAGTTCTGTCCTTGCATGTAAAAATACTTGCATTGAGCGTGAGCCATAATTTGAGCATTAAGTTCTGTCCACCTTTGCCCCTAAGAGCAGGGTGTCTGTGTCCGTAAGAGAGAACTGCCTAGAGAGATCCCTCTCTTCTGGATTAGGAGTAGTGACAATGCATTTTAAACATCATGTGGTAGTCAGAAATGGAGTTGGTGAGAAAGAATGCACAAAATAACTTTTATGTAGCTGTAATAAATAGGAAATATATTTTCTTAATTTCTTCCATATTGAGAGCAGAACCAATGATATCAGAGCTTATCTGTCCTATTGGTGTGATGACTGATGTGAGTTCAGGATATTTTTGGTAGAAACTGAATATTTGACTGATATTTTATGGCGAGCTGCACAAAACAGTTATCTTATTCAGCTAGTTTGGTTTGGAGATGAGTTTAAGTGTTTGGATATATGTGAACTAGTAATATAAAACATGAGTAGCTCTCAGCCACTTTCATTTAAACAAAAAAGCTTTCTGGGGTGAAAACGGCTGCAGATCCCTGCCCTCAAATCGGCACAGACCTGAAAGCACCCTTTTGTTTGTTCTCAGGTTGTAACTCTTTGGTACCGGGCTCCAGAGGTCCTTCTGGGCTCACCCAGATATTCAACACCTGTTGACGTTTGGAGCACTGGGACCATCTTTGCTGAACTTGCTACCAAGAAGCCCCTGTTCCATGGAGACTCAGAGATTGACCAGCTTTTCAGGATCTTCAGGTAGATGCACCAAAGCACACCAACATGCATTTATTAGAGCCCTTGTCAAACCCACATGTTGTTTTTTTTTTGTGTTTTTTTTCCCCCTGCATACTGGTGCAATCGTCTGCTGTCCAGACGAGTTTTTCCACCCCGCAGTCACCAAGCACTGCTCAAGGGGGATCTGTTGTTAGACCTTACTTTGTAAAGTGTCCTGAGACAACTTTTGTTGTGATTTGGCGCTATACAAATAAAATTGAATTGAAAATGAGCCCACAAAGAAGGCAGAAAGGAGAAAGGAGTACTGACAGCTTGTGAGAAGTGCTCGTCCTTTTGAGCACTGCTTTTAGGTGTGGTGTAATGGGATTATGTTGAAACTGAGCTTGGTGGATGTTTGCATTCTTTCAAAGTTTTCTCTAGTTTTTCTTTTTAAGAGATGAACGATTGATCAGCGTAGGTTGGAAATGGCTGGTTTTCAGCGTGACCGCCTGATCACTGAGATTTTTGATTCTGTGCCGGTCAGATTTGGAGGCACAACTGTCCATGTTGCACATATGGTGGCACAGACCAGAAACATAGCCTCCAAACCTCTGACAAATAATACACAATTAGAGAATTACTGCCTACACATTAAATGTATCCAACCTAAAACACAGCAAGTACAAACTACACACACTTCAAAAAGAAATGTGTGCTCGGTAGGGCTGATATAACAGCACTCTTCTCTTTCTGTTACCTGTTGCACCCGTTTATCTTTGGAGAAGTACAGATGTTGCAGTTCATTTTTAGTTGGAGGTTGGTTTTAAAAAGTGAGATGCAAAATGGTAATGCATTGTTTTATTGTAGTACAATTTAATTTTCATTAAAGAAAAGTTTGAAAAATTTCAGTGAATGCTGTCAATTACAGTTCTAAGATCAAATTGGAATCGACATTTAAAAATCTGAAATCAGGCAAAAGTTGTAATCTGTGTGTGTTTTTAAAAAAAAAAAAATTTTATTTTTATTTTTTTAATATCCTGTATAATGTGTTAACTCACACTATATGTTGTATTTGGCCCTCCCACAAGGTCAGAATCTGTGACCACTCACACCGCTGGTTCACTCAGTGTTCACACTGGATGTTGACTTGGAACCCTAGAGCGGTTGTGTTAAGTGACAGCTGATAAATAGGGGTGTGACAAGATCCCGTGATATTAAAACGTGATGATATTTCTCATTGAGTGAAATTCATCACAGCAACTCATAATGTGATTTAGAACTGTGTATGGAACCCTGTGCTCGTATGCACATCCAACAACATCTGGGCATGCTCCTGATGAGTCAGTGGATGGTGTCCTGGTGGGGGGGTCTCCTCCCAGACCTGGATCAGGGCATCAGAAAGCTCCTCGACACTCTGTGGCGGTAATTGGTGGTGTCAGGAGAACATGAGGACCAGTCAGTGGCATCAATGCCTTCGTCATCCAGGAACTGCCTACACACTCTGGCTACCTGAGACCGGCCATTGTCCTGCACCAGGAGGAACCCTGAGCCCACTGCATCAACATAAGGTCTGACGAGTGCTCTGAGGATTTCATCCCATTACCTCACAGCAGTCAGGGTACCGTTGGCTATGACATGGAGGTCTGTGCGGCCCTCCAAGGATATGCCTCCTCAGACCATCACTGACCCACCACCAAACTGGTCATGCTCAATCACCTGTTGTCACCTTCATTTGTACCAAAGTGGCTGAAACTGATTCACAATCACTTGTGCTTCCAAAATGATAGATAGCCCTGAAGTATAACTGACTTGGTGCTATATTGTGATGATTAAGTGTCCCCTTAATTCTTTTGAGCAGTTGATTTATGTGTGTATGTATTCTGCAGCATTTGACCAGTCAGCAGTATTCAGGTCTACCAAACCTGAAATAAAAGTTCTTGGAATATCAAAATGTTCTCGGGTTGGTTTCCTGTGTTTTAAAAAAAAAAAAAAAAAAAAAAAAGTATCATTCAGGAGTTAAGTTTCGTCCCTGGTTCCTTTGGGCAAACACAGGTTTAGGCCTAGTTCGTAATGTTCTTGGTGCCTTGGGACAGTCCTTTCCTGCAGCGCCATGTTTGTATTTATTTATTTTTTGATCTGCCTTTTACAGGACTCTGGGAACCCCAAACAATGATGTGTGGCCCGAAGTAGAATGCCTTCCTGATTACAAAAACACCTTCCCAAAATGGAAGTCTGGAAACCTGTCGTCCATGGTGAAAAACCTGGATAAGAATGGCTTGGACCTACTGGCGGTAAGGACTAGACTTGAACCATTAACTTAAACTAATATTGTAAGTTAAATTGCAGTTATATCAAACTAGGGCTATAATCCACTAAGAATTGTTGTACGTCACCTCAGATTCAGCTGTTCACTGCAACTGTTTGACTATGCCCCACCCATTGTGTGTTTTCTTAAATAGCCTTGACCGTCAGAAAATCAACGGGCATGAATTTCATTGATTTCAACCACATTAACATTGGTATTTCAATTCTTAAGGATGAGGGCAACATATTCTTGATCATTTACTCATAAAAACAGCTGCATATGATGCAAGGTTCAAATTGCGATCTATTTAAATTGGTGATATAATGTTGGGCTGCCCTGTGGATTTGTCAGAAGAATGAGACAGGCAGCACACTTGTTTCTGTTGAAACAATGCTCTTGGAGGCAAATTTTTCTTCTGAGATATGGTTGTATCCTAGTTTGCCAGCAGGTTTGGGCTTCCCATGTCAGTTAACCACCAGAGCATTTTGTTATGTTTTGTGTGCCAGTTTTCACTGTTCAAGAATATAAGAATATATTTGATTCCTCTTATTTATATTTCTCAGAGAAATGTTTTCCCAACCCATTTTAGTTCGCCTTCTGTGACATGCATCCATCTGAATGGGACTAGAAACAGTCAAATACTATTTTTTCTTTACACTTTAAAAGAGGGGGGCAAAAAAAAAAAAAAAAAAAAAGGATGCACAAATGCAAAACCAGCCACACTCTCACAGCCGTCAGTCTTTCCTCTTGTAAAAGTAGATTACAATATTTGAAAACACTTCTAATAAAGTATAAATCTCACCTTTTGAGTAGCTTGTTCTAGTGGGTTTTGTTCTTTTCTACTCATTCTGGGCAGATGTTTACTAAATGGTGTCATCAGACCTCATATGTACATCCATAGGTGCAGTGCTGCTGGAAATGCACCAGAATGATGCTCCACCACTTTTCCTCCAAGGCAGGAAAAGGAATAGGCCCACTGGTTTAATTTGGTTGAATTTCATAATGTTTCATTATTGGGAGCACTTGAAGATCCAGTCATCAGTAAAATGTATGTCCTGCAAAATAGAATGTTCACCCATTTTCTTCCGCTTATCCAAGATTGGTCACTGTGGCAGCAGGTTCAGCAAGGTAGTCCACATGTCCTTCTCCTCAGTAGTGTTTTCTAGCTCCTCTGGTGGGATTCTGAGTCTTTCCCAGGCCAGATGAGACATGTAAGCTCTCCGTGCTCCAAGTGGCGATATTAAAGTTTAGGGTGTCGTGATTAATTCACAGCATCGACTCAATGTGCACTCCGATGTGCAGTTGGCACCCACGGCACCAGTGCTTTGATAACCGGTTCAACCATCTTTTGACAGCACTTCCTGTAGCTGTGGGTTAGACCTGCACAACATTCAGGAGGAACTTTTGACCATTCTTCTTCACAGAGCTGCTTGAGCTCAGCCATATTCTTAGGATGTCTAATGTAAATGGCTCTCTAGGTCATTCCAGTGCTCTCTCTCTCCACTGTACTTCGCTGTTGGAATGATGCTTTCATGTTGGTGCGTGGTTCTCTTTTCACACCATACATAGTGCTGTGTGTTCTTCCCAAACAATTCTACCTTTGTTTCATCTGTCCTCAGGACATTTTCCCAGTAGTGCTGTGGAGTGTCAGGGTGGTCTTTGGCATCCTTCAGGCATGCTGCAATGTTGTTTTTGGAGAGCAGTGGTTTCCTCCATGGTGTCCTGCCATGGATATCGAGCCTGTTCAATATTTCACATATGGCTGACTCATGAACAGAGATGTTAACCAGCACCAATGTGTGGACAGACAGATGAATATCTAGTCTTTGAGATGACTTTGACCCTTGCCAACTCTTGATTGTGGGTCTTCTGAGATCTTTATTTATTTTCTTTGTGAGGCATGGCTCACATCAACTGATGCTGACACTGTTTGAGTGTTTTTATAAGTCAGGGTCGTTCTAAACCACCCCTCTATTCTCATTTCATTGACTGGACTCCAGGGTTGCTAACACCTGACGCCAGTTACTGTTTAGTGACATCAGAACCAGTGTTGCCATTACTTTTTCCATGTTTAATGGTTATATTCAATAAAGACCTGAAAGATTGACTGTGTTTTATCAACTTATTTGTGATTGTGGCAGAACGAAATCCAGATCATCTAGACAAACTAGAGCGTAATCTCCAGGAGAGGCCGAACATTAGATGTGATGATCAGAAACAGACTTTACATTTAACTCTAGTAATGCCGGGCTTTAAAGAGACTGATTTACCTGTGAGGGATCAGCTGTAGCTCTATATGACATGCAGGGCACAGGATGTCCAAACTTTGACACATGCTGACCAGTTTACAAGCCCCTTCAACAGCTGATGTGTTCACTGTTGCTGGTTGACACACAAATCGGCATGACGCAGGAGGAGCTCGGTGAACATTGGTTTAACACTTGAGTGGGGAGCATCTATTTTCTTAATGATTTGGAGGCATTTGTTTACATGGCCCTTGAAACAATCTACAGCTTAACTGTGCACATCCACACGCACGCATCATAGTTGTGTTCCTGTACTTCATCAAATAGTTGTACATGTCTGCATACATCCCTGCATCAGACAGTGTCTCCATTGAAGTGGGTATTTAATACAAAAACCTGTATGGTGTTCTGCCCTGTCTTTCTCTTGTAGAAAATGTTGACCTACAATCCTCCCAAGAGAATCTCAGCACGGGAGGCCATGACTCACCCCTACTTTGACGACTTGGACAGATCTACCCTGCCAGCTGCCAGCATCAACAAAGTCTAAAACACATATTGACTATACAAACAAAGTAGTTACTATTATGATTTGTCATTCTGTAAATACTTGTGTGTGTGAAAATTGTTGTAAACCTTTTTAGCACAGTTTTGTCTTTCGGCGTGTCAATAAAGCTGCACTTTTTTGATTATCAAACAGATCACTAAATGTGTCTATCAAGGCCGACCAGCAGCACAAGTGTACTGGACAAAAATAGTTTTGTTTTTTGTTTGTTTTTTCCTGTTGATCTCTCCTGAAATCGCATTTTTGTGTAGCCGATGGCTTAGACTTGGATTTTTCCTGGCTCATTACGCATGGTGAAAGTGGGACTCGGCAGCCTGATGAGTCATTGTAGATACCAGTAGAAATGGGAAAACAGTGGGATATGTGTGATTTTAAACAGCAGGCTCTGAGGATTATGCTTCACTAATGGCAGCAGAGTGGGGAAAAAAGTATAGAAAAACAAGGGTTTTTATGGGAGACGCTCGTTACATGGATTCAGTGTGAACTGACATTTTATATAATGCAAACAGCATTGTTATTTCCACTTTGACATGAGATCCTGAAACGGGCAAATATGTGCCCATTGCATGTTTCTTCCTAAACATGCTGGATGAATGCAGCACAAAACCCCCTCCCACAGACAACAGATTCCTAAAATTATGCCACAGCTCTATGCAAGTCTTTATAAATCACAATCTGCTCTCTTTGGTGAGCTTCATATTCCATCCACAACACTCCCACAATCAAGCATAAATCGTCAATACGAATGCTCATGACTATTGGTATGCACGTTGTTCCTGTGAAGAATGTTGGCGATGTTATAACCAAGATTTGAGAGACCGCAAAAGTTCATAAAATAAATGGGACAATCTCCGTTTTGAAGTAATGATACATACACAGTTATCTTCACTGCGGAGATTTTATACAAAACCTATATGGAAACATTTTATAATTATTTCATTAGTTAATGTGACTGAAATGAAAAGTTCACAGTGAATCAGGGAAAGGTTAGCCAGACCTCTGCTGTGGTTCCATTATCGGACCCTAATGAGCTGTGTGGCCCTTACTTCATCCCTCATAACCTCCTGGGTTGACACGGACCATCCTGCTTTGTTTTTCCACTGTATTTCCTCTGTGTTGGTCTCTGCTTAGTGGAGGGAGGAGCTACCCCTCTCACACAGGCAGTCAGCCGAGCAGAGGGAGAACAGATCACTCCATAGTGCAACATGACTATGAGCAGTTTACCAAACAGTAGTTGAACAAGCTGTACACAAACTTAGAAATCTGACATCTTCACTGCTTTGCCAGCAGTCCATTCACTGAAGTCTTTTTATCTTTAAACCAGTATAAGTGCCTTTTTACACACACTGCTTGTAATGCTAATGATTGAGGTGTGAAGAGCAGGCATTTAACCGATCATGGGCAACTGCTCTGTGTGCATGCGCCCACTCCCCCCTTGCATTCCTGGAGCTTGACTTTAGTACTACCTACTGAGGGGTGCCAAAATTTAGCTCCTCGAACGCACCTTGAAAGCAGGCAGGGGGCAGTGGAAAAAACTTCAGAACATGAGGAGCATTTCATAGTATTAATGTTAATTATTGCAACCCAACCCCTAATGTTAATAAGCATCACGGTACCCCAGCTGAAATAAGTGCACGGCACAGAAATTGCAATTGTATTAATATGATTTTTGGGAGTAATTTGAGTGTAACATCAGTGCTTTGTGTGACCCTGGCAGTAATGAATGTTCTTTTTATTCATTTATTTAACCTTTGTTTAACCAGGGAAAACAGTTCTTTGAGATCAGGGATGGAACCTTTTCAGTGGTGCCCTGCAAGACAGCAGCATAAAGGTTTCAGACAACTATAGAAATTAATATAGCACGGGAATGTTAGAAGCTTGTCATGGATTTTTTGTAATAACATGTCCAATGTAGTGGACAAAGGCACTTTGTCACAAAGTTCATCATAAGGTATCAGTCAAACAAGGTTTTATTCTCTGTGGATTTCTAGAAACAAATATACAACACTGTGTAATTACAAAAATATTTATTTTAATGAGGCGCATTATACAAAGAAGTGTTAATTTCATTCACAATCATCTGCTTAGTGGGTGAGCAAAACTGTGGAGACTGGTCAAGTCACAATTTTTTAAAATGTTTCCTGCATGAATGAAATGTGCCATACATTGTACTGTGTGAATTTCCCTTGCTGAGCCCACTATTCCACTGCTGCTACTGAAAAGAGTCAAATGTTAATCTTATTTCAACATATATTAAAAACATTCTCAACATGTGTTAATGGTTTAACAGTCTGGCCCTGTATTGCACTTTGTTTTTGCGTTTGTCTTCATTTCACAATATTCACTAATTTGACTGTCAAGCAGCCCCGGTTTGATTTGATGACATTAAATGGCTGGTGGTGACACCTGTCTCCATAGGCACAGACAACTTCCTCTGCACGTTCCCTTCATGCCTGTTTGTTAAATATACATAAAACAAACATAATTTGGACTGTGTGACAAGCGCATCAAATATTATGTTATATTCCTTAAAGTCCCCATGGCTGCTCATTTTGCTCATTTCCAGCCACTTCATATTTAACCTTGGGTACCTCTAGATTAGCTCGGCACCCCTCATAAGTCCAAATAGAATAATAAAACCAGAGAGCCTCTTCCTAAAACCAAGAGGACACTTTCCAAGCACGCACAACTCCTGCTGCCAGTGTTGTGTCACAAGTGGACACCACAATGAACCGCAACAGCATCAATTAATTTGAATTTCTCCTCCATAGATAGATAAACAACGATATGAAAAGAGATGTGTAACACTCTAAGCCAAGCGGGTAGTTGAGAAACCCCATATTTTAACTGGCATAATGTAGACATAGTAACTTCTCCAGCCTTCCAACTATTCTCTCTAACCTTACAGGAACAAGGCATTAACAGACATGCAACATGTTTTTTTTTTACCTACTGTTAAGTCCCACCAAGTAGTGGAAATGCCACTCCCTTTAACTTATGAAACATATTCATTTCAAATCCATTGTTGTGGTGTACAGAGCCAAAATTACAAAAATAGTGTTTTTAATGCCAAACACTTTTTATCAGAGCAGTGTTTGTTTATGTAATGCTATGACAAGCTGTGTTTGTACATCAGCTATTGTATGTGTGTATGCACAGTCTGCCACCCTACACCATGGGGGAATAAGATGCCTGAAAGGTAAAACATATATAAAATGGACCGGCTGCCAGTAAGTTACTGTAAATTTCACAATAACCCCTTTATAATGTGGACAGACTGATTCACTTGTGTCTCAATTCACCCACTTAAAGAGCAGAAATCTGTAGGTTAAAATTTTTTAAAACTAGTTAAACAGTCTATTTCAAATGCGTCCGTTTGGTCTTTAATGCTGCATTAGTTCATTTGTTTGGCCACCTGGGGGCAGAAGAACTCCAGATACACTGCCTGAAATATCATCAGCTTATATAGTTTTAAGCATCTTACTAATGAACGTCTTGTATCATTAGTAACAGTCGGGGTCATTGTGCAGATGTGAAATCAAGCTTTGTAATGCTAGGTAAACCCCACGACCGCCACTAGATTCAAAAGTTCCAGACTTTAATGAGTGCATCCTTAAAGTAGGGTTCAAAGCTCTACTAGTTGATTTTCATTGTGTTTCTAAATGAAATATGGCTGCCAAGATGAAAAGAACTCAGTCAAACAGCGCTGCATAACAATCTTGTATGAACGGTAATTAAAAGTTACAGTTGACCCACAGAGACATCACTTTTGGTATGGTCATTCAAGCAGCTGTGATGGAGAAAAAAACAGGTGTGTACTCGTACATGCAACAGTGTAGAGCACCATGATGGATGCATGCTGCATCTGCACTGTAGCTCTTCCCTATTCCAGGAAATGGAGCTTGAAGTGGTGAATGTTTATTTGATTTTAGTTATTTATGGTGATTTTATTCTGCCTATGTAAAGTACTTTGGTCAACTGGATGTTGTTTTTAAAGTACTATATAGATAAAATTGATTTGATTTGAATGCAGGATGGTAACAGAGAGGTGGAGATAGGATATGAAAATTAGAGTTAGTCACACTCCATATGCACATATCACATATTATCCAGTTTATGATTCAAAATGTATCATATACACAGCCCGAAAAATGTAACTATGATGAACTACTGTAAGGGAACAGGGTAGAGACCATGCAATCTAATGGAACACATCATTTCTCAATCCAACCAGATGTGCTTTTATTATTTTATCAGCTCCAGAGACCATTTAGAGACACATGGTTTTCTTTCTCCCCAAGTCTTTTCCCCAACTGTAATAATTTCACAGATGGGCCAAAACACACAGGCTCAGGGTCCTCCATAAACAAGACAGATCCTGGTGATCCCTCCAGACTCCAGGTTCTCAGGAACATGATGAACTCTGATAATATTATGGAACCTATATGGTTCTCTCACAACAGACAGGCACTCTTGAGATTTATCAGGTCTTACTGAAAGAGAATGAAAACACACCATTTAACTACAACTTCAGCATGGGTATACTTTAGCTTTTGTCCCTGCTGCCATTGTGAGCTACCTGTTTGAACATATATAACATATACAGTCATTTCTGTCAGATAACACACACCGGTATTCTCATCTTTATTTCTTTTGTTTTCATTGGAACAACACAAAAACGCCAAATCTGATTCATTCCACAGAGAAAATGGACTGGACAGAAAATGGACTGGACAGAATTATTGACACCGTCAACTTAACATTTAGTAGCACATGCTTTGGACGCTTAAATCAATTGCTCCCTCCACAATACCTCCCCTCCCTCCAACCCTCCACCCCTGAAGATGTGTGAAAAGAATGTGAGTGGCCATTTTAATAAACAAAAGATCATACAGGCGCCAGGCCCAGTCGGTGTGACCCCCTCCTGCCTTAAAGCTTGTGCTGATCAGCTGGGTCCCATCTTCACACTTATCTTTAATCATTGAAGCTCTGCTTCAAACGCTCCACCATCATCCTGGTTCACAAGAAACTTTCCATCAGTGGACTGAATGACTACAGACCTGTCACCTAATGATGTCCAAATGAAGCAGTGAACCAGTATCGAAACACTTCATCAGTTGTATCAAACATCAGTTCATTCATTCAAAGGTTTGTTTCAGTGACATCTAGTGGTGAAATAGGAGACAGCAAAACAATGTCTGAATTATGTGAATGCTCCATGATGGTGATCAAACACAGTCAGCAATTATAATAATGACAGCAACTACACACACACCTACTACAATGACAAACCCACATGTTGTGCATCATATAGTGCTTTTATGTGCCTACGAACCTGCTGCGCAGCAATGTCTGGCATTATGAAGCAGTATCGACTGTTTGAATTTTTCAACCCACTGCTGGACCTCCTGCAGTTTGCCAAACAAACAGGTCAGTGGACGATGAAGTCATTACATCCTGCATCACCTCAGGTCCCCAGGGACCTACGCATGGGCCCTCTTTGTGGACCTCATCTCAGCGTTCAACATCATCATCCTGGACATGCTCCACTCTAAACTGACCCAGATCCAGCTCACTGAGCCTGCCCCCAAATATCAGTGGATCACCAGCTTTCTGACAGACAGGAAGCAGCAGGTGAGGCTGGGGAAAACCACATCCAGCTCCCAGACTATCAGTGCAGGCAACCCCCCCCCACCCAGGAATGTGTGCTCTTCCTGCTGTTGTTCTCCTTCTACAGTGACTGCACCTCAGAGGACCCCCTCTGTTAGACTTCTGAAGTTCACTGATGACACAACGGTTATCGGTTTCATCTGTGATGGGGATGAGTCAGCCTACAGATGAGAGGTTGAACATCTGGCCCTGTAGTGTGGTTACAACAACCTGGAGCTGAACACATTCAAAACAGTGGTGATGACAGTGGAGGTTCGAGCCAGGGCCGACCTGGGCCCTTTCTGTGCAGAGATTGAATGTTGTTCCTGTGCCTGCCTGGTTTCTCTTTGGGTACTCCGGCTTCCTCCCACAGTCCAAAGTCATGTAGCTTTGGTTGACTGGTGACTCTAAATTGCCCATGAGTGTGTTTGGTTGTTTGTCTCTAAGTGTGAGCCCTGTGATACTCTGGTGGAGGTGGAAAGACTCAAAACTACACCTGTTGCTCCAGGCTTCTGTTGCAGTGTCCAGTCAGTCTTTCTCTACACTGTGTAGGCTGAAGACCTGGCTGTGCAGCACCAGGATGGAGCTACCACTTTACACTAATGACTGCTCACAGTGGATGTGTTGATTCTTCCCACCTTTATTAGTAGAACAACTGAGAGAAGGTCCACTTTTGTTCATGCATAAGTGTGTAGTGTTTCAATATTGAAATGGAATTGTTCTGATAAAAACATCACTTGATCTGAACATCTGAATCTTATTTTCAACTTTTCTTAAGCGCTAGTGTGCATACTTTTATATTGCAAAATCAGTGCTTTGATAATCAGCACTACTATGTCACTCTGTTCAGCAGATGATCGTAGAATTCACAACAAATGCATTGTATTGTACTATACAAACATTGTGTCACAGTTCAAATACTTATGGCCTTGACTGTATATACTATATGTATTTAATGTTATAGCTCTTGTTAAGTCGTAAAAGCAAAATGCCTGGAAAATGAGGTTTAAGAACAAAGGTATTTTAAAGGTATTTAAAATGAACCTTTATAACAGTTTACTGTCCTGTAAAAACTGTACTGGTTGTATAGCTTCACTGTGTAAGATTCCATACAGCCTCAGAAGTGCCATTTGCTGTAACATTTGAAAATTTGAAGCTGTGAATGATGTCGGTGGGGACTTTATTCATAAAATCTCCCTTTATTCCATTCTTGCTGTTCTGTTCACCTTCAGGGTGAATTTAAATCACTTTTCCCTCCTCCTCCTCCTCCTCCTCTGCTTCCTCCACCCTTCTGCCTCTGGCTGGCTGCCACTCCTCCTCTCTCATGAGTCTGAATGCTGCCCCCAGAGCCCGGCCCCTTTATTCTTCTCAGCTGGAGGAATTGGATGCATTCAGACACGCACTCACGCTCAGGCACACGAGCAGGCGAGGAAACACAGGTATCATGACCCTGCTCAAGGACAATCTCCACACCGAAGCCTCCAACAACAGATGCACAACTGAACTTTGAGACAGAATAAACTTCTTTAAAAACATGATGTGGAATCTCTGAGGAAGTCTTGACTTTTCCTCAGCTTTAGGTTGGAGGATCCTCAACTTTACAGCAACATGAGTGTTAAGAGGAAGAAGACTGGGCTTGTTATCAGCTGGCAGAAGTCATTTTCCATTCTGGCTCCTTGGAGGAAAGGTACAGCTACCATCACCTTCTACAGAATCTTTCCACTGCAGTACCACTGATCTAACCTTCCCCACCAGATTAATTGCTGTTTCTTCTGTGTGATGAGGTGCAGCAGTAATTTCAGTCACAGGGTGTGTTTTATTTTACATCCCATCAGTGGGCAAATCCTCTCACTGCAAAACAATGCTACCTCCATCCATTAACTGCTGGCTTAACCTCTTCAAGGCATATTTCTCAGAAAGAGGAATGATTGGCGTTTTGAGGGCCTTTGTAATGTGCTTTGTATTGTAGGTGACTGACATTTTAAATGAGTAAGTGAGGAATACTTCTGAATTTACTTAACTGTTGGTCTGTGTGTGTATTTTGATGGGAAGCAGCTCAGTTGTTAGTCAAGTGAGATTAGCAGCTCTAGCCTGTGTAATAAAGGTTTTACTAGATTCCCGAATACTCACGTACTGTATATGATGATTGTCTCTGGATTCTTAAACGACCCATTTCAGATTACATATAGTGATGATGGCATTTTGATCATTTACTATGCCATTGTGGTTTGTTACTTACTAACTCAGCAGGATAACAACTGTGTGTGTTGAGTCTGTCAAAGCTCTTTGTTGCTTCAGATAAACTCTAAAGCAATGTAAAACCTTGCAGCAATACACTGAGAGCTTTCATTCTCATCCCTTTTCCCTTTCTCATGCTAGTGTCAGTTCATTGTGCACTCCATGCCCAAGTCCTCGCTCATATCACTCTCAGCGCATTTGCAGTACAAGCCTCCACACCTGCCGAGCAGCAAATCCTCCAGCCGTTTTGCTGTGGGGGGGATGATAAATGTAGCATTGTTGTGGCTCTCTACTTGACAGCAGTCACGTTGTTTTTCATTTTATCTCATAGTAAGAAGAAGAAAAGCATTAAAAAACATTTCCATTGTGTACAGTGCAGTGGAGAGCAGATTTTTATTGGTGTTTTCTTGTGTATACCTGCTGTCATTTTATGTTCAGGAATAATTGGAAGATTTTCTGGAAGCTGAAAGTATAAAATAACTATTTCTCCTTAAATGTAACACAGCATAAGTGGCTGAACTCGGATGTTCTTTGTTTCATACAGAAAACTTGAAATGCAGATAGGAAATCTGGACAAGTGTAAAAATGTGGCCATCCCAACGCTCTGCTCATCATTTGGTGACTAATACATGAAATATGCACAACTGAGGCACATTCAGTGGAATTCGTGAATAAACAGGATTAAATCTTAGAGCGAGGTTCTTACATTGTTCAGGCATAAGAAATACTGTATGAGTTGTTGATGTGAGTAAACAACTCACATCAAACATTGAGAAGGGAGCATGAGAGGATATCACAGAAAAAAGCTTTGGAAAATCTGGACTTTTAAAGTTCATTCTTGAACTTAGAAACAGTAGTTTGACTGAAAACAACAACAAACCAATTAGCATTTGTAAAATAAATCTCACTTCACTACATTTAACTGATGACTGCATGATGACTTCCTTTATTTTCAGCAAATAAAACATTATACTATATAAAATATTGTATTTCTGCTCTCTATCCTTCCTACATTGCTTAGATTTTCTTTTGCTATTTTTTATTTCCTTCTTCAGCTGCTACAAAATCATGACATCATATTGAGAACTTTTACTTTGAATACATCAGTAAATTATATTGCTATTTTATGATATGGTGCATTTTTTCAATAATAAAATGGTAAATGCAGGTTTGTAGTGATAAGGCTGTTATTCTTGGCTTATTGAGAATGTAGATATATTCATGTACGGTATATCTCCTGGTGTCCATAAACCTTTGCAGTTTTTAAATCACTTGCTCCAGTGAAATAAGCTGAAGCAGTAAGTAAGCAGTTTTAGTGGACTGCTGAAGATATGCTTGATGTGAACGCACCTTGAAAATGTTCTAGTGGACCTTGCTTAGTGTCTCGTTGAAAAACCCTCTGAGGCAACTGGCTGCTTAAATTCCTGGTGGGGTAGGAAGTCAAACTCTAAACTGTCAGAGGAAATTAGCCTGCAAGAGTTTTGACTTGAGTTACAGTGCTCCTGCACATTCTTGCCTTATCTTAATGACTTCTGATAGGAGAGTGTGGGGGGGGGTTAACTTTGATAAACACGGTGAGTCTGGATAACATCTTTAGGTACTCTGTGGTCATGAAAGTGTTGGAAAACAGAGTGGGGATCCCAGCTGGGCTGTGTGTTGAGAGGCAACTGCTTCTGGTCTTAAAGGATAGTGAGGGGAAACTCAGAGCATATTCATTACTGATGGTGTTATATTTCTGGTTTTTGGAATGTAGAGGTCAAGGCTCTACCTGAATTGTTTTTCTTTTACTTACTGAAATGATAGTTAATTTGACAGGTATTCATTTGTTTAATTACGTGCAGTGCTTGGCTGTGGAGGCGGTATATCCGTCACTGGAATCATCAGTGAACAGAATGTGAAACACATTTTAGAGATGGCACATTTGCATAATGGAAAGAGGCAAAGAAGCAACCAGACAAATTAAAATGTATGCATGTGCGTAGATGAGCTGTTTTGCTGGGAGAGACATGAGCGATACTCACACACAAAAGACATACACAGTCACACACAAACACTAATGCGAGTGTGACTACACTCAGTGTATAAATAGTCACATGTGGTTTGTGAACACATCAGGTCTGTGAAATGACTTTTTATATTAATGATTCAATTTCTGTTTTTTTAATGTTAATGAATACAAGGTGGACTAAGAAGATGATCTTCTCTCACACTGCTTGGCCACAGGCCCTCCATGCTCCCACTCAGTGTTGATGTGTGACTTTTGAGTGATGATGTCACATTTGTGCAAGTTTGTTTTTCTGTTCTGTTTCGTCGGCAGGTACTGTTGTTTTTGTTGTGTTGACATCTGTGCACAATGTGACCTTGTGTATTAAAACTAAAAGTAACTAGCCTGATTTGAAAATGCAGGAAGTAAAAGTAAAAAGTTGTCAGAAAAATAAATACCAAAGTAGCACACGGATACCTAAAGATGTACTTACAGTAATTACAGTACTGTATAGTACAGTACTTTGTTACTTCCCACCTCTGTTCCCAAGTAGTTGATAAATATGTGAGTAAGGACAGTTCTGGTACTTTTTTCCTCCACTTTGAGCACCGATCATCTGTCATGATACCATTCACCATTCCCATTGTCCCCTTCAGCCAGGTTCTCACTTTGCTGACCTGCTGTTCCACACCTGTCCACCAGTCATCTGACTTCCACCCACCTGTTCACCTGTTTCCTTTTCCCTAATCAGTTCACAGCATATAAAGGGCTTTTCCCTCTGCAGTGAAAACTGTTATCAGTTACTTATATGACATTATTCATTGAAAAAGTTATTTGCCACAGCTTCATTAGTCTTGTCTCAATTTATTCTGTACATAGAGTGTGAATTCTTGTCTGTGCCATGTTGTTATTTTTTTTGCTCTTGTGCAACAACTGCACTGAACTTCACGAGTGAGAAATGGACCTAGTAATGTTTTTTTTTTTATTCCAACCCTCACTGGCCTCTGTTAAACCAGACTAGATGACGGCTGTGTGCTCTCTCCAGCCTTCTAGGCAGCTTAGAGCTTTGTTCTCATGGTGTCCAAGCCCAAGGCATGAGAGGACAAGAGGTCAAGCCACTTATTCTACTTTCACACCTTTACTCCTGAAAGCTAACTTTGTAAGGGGATCATTTAAATGACAGTACTAATACTGCCTGGAATGTGAAGTGAATATGACAGGAAATGGCTAAAGGGCGTTTTTTTTTGGACAAAATAAAACAAAGCAAACCAAAAAAAATGTTAGTGTGGCTCCAGGGTGCAGGCAGGGGAGGTGAACTGCCTGTAATTATACGTTATGATGTTTACTCAAGCACAGACAGGTATGGGACATAGGCTGACTCAGCCTGTGAAGGCAATTACAGGATAGAATATCTGCTGGTGTTGGTTGGGAGGGATGAGGACAGCTGGATTAGGGTGACACCTGTCCAGCCAGAGGTGGTTGTGTGGAGAAGATTGTAGGGAAGGAAGGGCTTTGTATCATAATAACCAGAAGTCAGATTACAAAGCTGAGCTAGCAGATGACTTCAGTGTCTCAATAAAGTCTACCTTCTTTATTTAGTATTGTTTGCCAGGAATTCACAGGAACAGGCAGACACAAAAAACTGTAAGAAAATAAGCAAGGTAGGATGGAGTGTCAAGTAAAACAAAAACCAATGTCTTTTTCCAGAGAAAACATTCTATTGTTATTCTGATTGCATGAACGGGGGTTAACTTGGCCTGTGGGCAGGCTGGGTGTGGACTGTGTGAATTTCACAGATTTCACATTCTCATCACATTCCTGGTTTCTGGAAACAAATTCTCAATCTGTTTTGTCACTGAAAATAAGATGACTTGGACATAGAAACACCACGGCCTATATAGTCTAGTATGTGTCCAACATTAAGTGTCAATGCAGGATGCACTATGTTCTTTATGTGGTAAAGCAGAAAGTAAGTATTTGGAGGTCAGGGTGGTGGATGGCCCTGTACCACACCTGATTTGAATATCTGAGACCAAAGAACATGTTCTGATAATCTTCTCAGTGCTCTCTAGTGGACAAACAATGTCATTAGGGATATGTAACACTGCTGCTTCATCAAAGCAACAGCTTTCTGTCATCCAGGCACAGGTCACTTTTACATTAATGTTTGCCTTTTTCAGACATACCAGTGTCATGGGGCATGCGCAATATTTGCCATACATGCAAGATTGCTATGCCTATCTGTTAATGTGAAAAGTGACACGTAAATGTTACTAGGTCCGAACTAGTAGGATTGCAGTTGTGACTTTTATGGAAAGGTGACCAGGGTGCTCATTTAAACATGAAGCCGACACTTTCAGATGCTGTCAGGTTTATGGAAAGGAGTGCATGTGTGAAAGGGGCTATGGATATGCTGTTTCTAGATTGCCTAAAACATATAACTGGCATTTCTGTACTGCAATATC